ATTTCAAAAGAAACCTTCCTATGAACATTTCAAAGTCATAGGATCATTATGCTATGCATCCACTTTACAACAGGGTAGAACTAAGTTTGCATCTAGAGCTTCTAAATGCATATTGTTTGGCTATCCACTCGGTTGTAAAGGTTATAGGCTTTACAACTTGGATACCAAGAAAATCATAATCTCCAGAAATGTCATCTTCTATGAGCATATCCTCCCATTTCAAAACCTCTCACCTACTGATCATGATTCCTCCTCAATGTTTCCCACTCCTCCAGATTTTCCTTTTGATCATTTTCACCATCAAACAGTCTCCAATACCCATATGAGTAACCAACCTAATCCTACAGATACACAAAACCAACCTGATCAGAACCAAATTACTCATACAAACAACCAAACTGTTCCTCCTATAAATCAACCCATTCCAGATGCCTCTACCACCAGAAGATCATCTAGAACAAGAAATATACCATCCTACTTTAATGTGTACAAACATTCCCTTCCCAACTCCTCAGCCACTAACCTTACATACACTGAGGACCCTGATGACATTTCTGGAACATTTCCCAAGTATCCCATTGAACATCATTTGTCCACAGCACAATTATCATCTTCTCATGCATGCTTTACTGCATCCATATCTACTTTGACTGAACCCAAAACTTACAAACAAGCTGTTAAAGACCCACTTTGGCAAGCTGCCATGAACAAAGAGTTACAAGCTCTTGAGAAAACTAACACATGGGTCTTAACTGATTTACCTCCTGATAAACACACCATAGGCTGCAAATGGGTGTTTAAAATAAAATATAAGTCAGATGGGTCAATAGAAAGGTATAAAGCAAGGTTAGTTGCAAAGGGTTACACCCAAGAAGAAGGTATAGATTATTTTGATACCTTCTCTCATGTTGCTAAGATAACCACTGTTAGGCTTCTTCTTGCTGTTGCATCCATAAAACATTGGCATGTTCATCAGTTAGATGTGAATAATGCATTTTTACATGGTGATCTCAATGAGGAAGTATACATGACCCCACCCCCTGCTTACTTATCTGATCCATTGCATAATTCTAAGGTTTGCAAACTAACCAAAAGTCTTTATGGCCTTAAACAGGCTTCTAGACAATGGTTTCAGAAATTGACCACATGTTTATTGAAATATGGCTTCAGCCAGTCTGTTTCTGACTGCTCATTATTTACTTTACAGTCTGATAATCATTTTCTGGCATTACTCATATATGTGGATGATATAATTTTAACTGGTGATGATATTACTCAAATTACTGCTATTAAAAATCACTTGGATGATTGCTTTACAATCAAAGATCTTGGTCAATTAAAGTACATCTTAGGCATTGAAGTTGCCCATTCTGAAAAAGGCATAAACCTTTGCCAGAGGAAATATGCTTTAGACATTTTATCTGATTCTGGTTTATTAGCTGGCAAACCTGCAACAACTCCCATGGACACTAATCTCAAATTAACCTCTGTTTCTACCAATGGAATCAAATCCATAGATCCTACATCATACAGAAGGTTAATTGGTAGATTATTATACCTAACAATTACCAGGCCAGACATTTCTTTTAGTGTGCAGGCTTTGAGCCAACACATGAGCAATCCTACTGAAGTTCACCTAGCTGCTGCACAAAGAGTTCTCAGGTATATCAAAAACTCTGTGGGGCAAGGTATTTTATTTCCCAGAAATTCATCTCTCTCTTTAAGTTGTTTTTGTGACAGTGATTGGGCTGGTTGCATTGATTCCAGGAAAAGCATAACTGGCTTTCTATTTTTCTTGGGAAATTCTTTAATATCCTGGAAATCAAAAAAGCAACCAACTATAAGCTGGTCATCTGCAGAAAGTGAGTATAGAGCTTTAGCTTCAGCATCCTGTGAAGCTCAATGACTTCTATACTTGCTTTCTGACTTAAAAATCTCACACAACTTTCCAGTGTCTATTTTTTCAGACAGCAAGTCAGTCATTGCCATTGCTCACAATCCAATCTTCCATGAGCGGACGAAACACATAGAAATCGACTGCCACCTTATCAGGGAAAAAATTTCCAAAGGCATTATTACCCTCATTTATGTGTCTTCCAGAGAACAAGTAGCAGATGTTTTAACTAAGTCCCTTGGTCCCCAGCCTTTTCAGTATCTAGTGTCCAAGATGAACATGTCAAATATCCATGTTCCTCTTGCGGGGGGTAACAACCATACATTTGGGCTTATTAATATCAGTTTAATATTCATGTACTTGGGCTTCTTAATATTAGTTTTGTATTAGGCCCATTTGATGTAATACATTGTATCAGCCCATTAGGTTTTATATTTGCCATATATAAGGCTGTGTTAGGGTTTACTGTACTCACTTTCACTTTCTCGATTTCATCAGATCAATAAGATGTATTTTCATTTTCTCTCGCTCTCTCGCTCTCTAGTTTCCATCTGATTTCATATGAACACCTAGTTCAATAAATCATATTAATTATAAATATATTTTTAAAATACATTAACTTTTTTTATATAAATATATTAAATTAATCATTTTTTATCATATTCGATTTAACAATCGTATTGCGTATACATGCACGTAAGTGAACCTGTTGAAAAACACATGATTCGTACAAACATACGGATGCAATTAAAAAGGAATAAATAAATATGAAAAGAACTAGTGAAGATGGTGAGAGTTCAACTCACAGTTATACGATATTCACATATGTTTTACATTTCATAAACTACATGTAAGCAATATTTAATATTTTTAAATAAAAATGTGAAGTTAATATATATAATACAATTCATTTATATTAATTTATTATAAATGCTATATGAAATTTAATAACTTGTGCAGAAATATATTCGAACATGTCTGTCTAAAATATTAAAAGCATATACTGTATATGGGGTTGAAATAGCTAACGATATGGAGATATGGTGAAGATATTTGTGTTAGGAAGATAAGTATAATTGTATTGTATTTAAATCGAATGGATTAAAGAGGGAAAAATTTTATTTTTGGTTCATTATATTGACCATTTTTCAGTAAAGATCCAACGTATTGGCGGACATCAAACTTAGTAAAAAAAGTTGAAAAATTCGTCACATCTGGTCCAATAATCACGCGAATCGGATAATTTGCATAAGTGGCATGATTATATTTTCCATGTCATTTTTTCGAGCCAAATTAATTTTTAGGCGGCGATGACAGGGCGAAAGCCAGTCCAAACTAAAGAAAATGATTATTGAACTTAAAATTTCATTACTTAAATTGCCTTGCGGACTTTTTACAGACACAAAAAAAAAAGAACAAGAGAAATAACACAAAAAAAAAGACCTAACTAAATGCTATTACATTGAGGTTTTCATCCTATTAACATAAATA